CTATTTTATATAGAACATTGTTATATTTGTGATCGTTTCATTGTTCGTAAATACAATATCGTTCTCTACAGTCCAGTACGATTATTGGTCACCAAGTCTTGAGCACGTTACCACATTTTTAAGAGGATTAAAGGGGCCTGGTACCATATAGCTGGACCGTAGCGTAACAATATTGGTCAAAATTCTGATAATTAAACAAGTTTTCATCACATTGCCTTCTTATCTGTAAACAGGTGGTATAAGTGGAAAACCCTTTAACATGCCTAACGTGTAAGTATGTTTGCGCATGCGCGCAAGAACGGAATCCCCCGGATAAAACAAGGTCACGTTTTGACAACGCACAGGTGAAAGTGATTTAAAATGAGACTTTTTATACGTACTGCCGAACTGACATTTAGATTTTGTCTCGTTTATGTATCTGCTTGATTTGAAATGAATTTTTGAAGAATGCATGTAAAAATCAAGCGTTTAAATGAAAAATACGGGTACTGCTTCTGTACGGGAACTGCTCGCATGCCAGTACAGTGGTATTTTCGGAAAATAGTTATAACATACAAGAAATTTAAGTATATATCAATACAGTTTCAGTAAAAATAATGTTTGCTAGACATTAAGCCCAATCTGTACCTTTATAAAGTGAAGTGAGATGTTTATTGGTATTAGGTTTGCAAATTCAAATAATAGAACATGCCCCTTTTTTTGACAACATGTTGAAAAAATACATCACCAAAGGTCCTGAAGTTTAACATTTGTCAAATTTTCTAAATAAACCAAAATGTCCTACTGTGCATAATTTAAAGTTTTAACAAGCAAATTTAGCAAATTATGTTTTTTCATTTCCTATTTTATGGCATGTTTCTAAAAAACCATCTCAATGGTATTTAAAAGTACATATCTATATGACTAGACAGTCAATGCAAGGCAAAGATATTTTCAAACAGTAAAACTCATTATGCCTGAATGAATATTTAAGAACTATCATCCCTCAGAAATGCTTTTACTTTTATTTTTGAAAATCTTTTTCTAACTGGTGTCCTTTTATAGTTTCCAAAACGGTACTCATTGACAAATTACTTGAACCATCTTTTGCTTCTGTTGCCTTTTGGTAATTAGTATGGTTAAAGTAATTATTTTATAGAAGTCAAAATATTATTTTGTTTACATTTTACTACTCTTACGAAAGTAATTTTACATTCAGCACTAATTTCTTCAGGTGATAAACATCTAACATTCTCTTAAACCATTACTTTAATGTAATAAAAATAACGTAATAAAACGTTCGACCTTTTTGAAGGTAAATTTTTATTTGTTGCTCCTGTAAACTAACAAACATTTTAACTTACAGCTAGGTAATCATCAACAAGCTGATCAGCCTGTTCCTCGTACGATTTCTCCTCGTTCTTTTCTTTGTTACGTAAAACATGGATCACTTGTTCTGGATTGAACTTCACCAGAGCTTTACGTTGTAATGGTTTGTCGTACACTTTGGCTGCCTCAGTGGGAGAATAATTCTGGATTTTACTGTAAAACACATTCATATTTACAGTTCTCAACTGAATAAACAAGAAACATGGCAATGCCATGAAACCAGGTTTTCAATTATCACCATTGTAGATAAATATGTTGTATTTGAAATACAAATACAAGCAACAAACAATGTAACTATGTGCAATGTAAAACATGAATAATGTAGGAGGAATTGCGCACAGAAGAAGTGTTCACTATATATATTCTGTATAAGGAAAAAAAACAAAGGGCCATAATTAGGTAAAAAATTATCCAATCATAAAACCCCGACAATATGTGCTAGGGCACTTGAAGACAAAGCTTCTGTGAAAGTTTGAACAAAATCCGTTGAGAAATGTAGGAAGAGTTCAGCACAGAAGAATTTGTTCAATTCTGTATAAGGAAAAAAAACAAAGGGCCATAATAAGGTCAAATATTATCCAATCACAAAACCCTGACAATATGCGCCAGGGCACTTGATGACAAAGCTTCTGTGAAAGTTTGGTCAAAATCCGTTGAGAAATGTAGGAGAAGTTGCGCACTGTAGAAATTGTTCACTATATATTCTATATAAGGAAAAAAAAACAAAGGGCCATAATTAGGTCAAATATTATCTAATCGCAAAACCCCGACAATATGCGCCAGGGCACTTGATGACAAAGCTTCTGTGAAAGTTTGGTCAAAATCCGTTGAGAAATGTAGGAGGAGTTGCGCACAGAAGAAATTCTATATAATGAAAAAAAAACAAAGGGCCATAATTAGGTCAAATATATACCAATTGCAAAACCCTGACAATATGTGTCAGGGCACTTGATGACAAAGCTTCTGTGAAAGTTTGGTCAAAATCCGTTGAGAAATGTAGGAGGAGTTGCGCACAGAAGAAATTGTTCACTATATATTCTATATAATGAAAAAAAACAAAGGGCCATAATTAGGTCAAATATTATCTAATCGCAAAACCGCGACAATATGCACCAGGGCACTTGATGACAAAGCTTCTGTGAAAGTTTGGTCAAAATCTGTTGAGAAATGTAGGAGGAGTTGCGCACAGAAGAAATTGTTTACGCCGCCCGCCCGCCCATCCGCCCGCCGACATACCTCAATCTAATAACCAGTTTTTTCCTTCGGAAAACCTGGTTAAAAAGTGGCTACAAGACTGTCAGTCCAAAAAACAATATAAACCTTTGACCATCAAGTTCCCGAGAAAGAAAAAGCCTAAATAACTTAAGACATATTTAGCATACATTTCAAAACAGAAGGCTTCCAACTATCACTACTGGGATCCTACATATTACCGGACAAAATATGATGTTTTTTCGCTGTAACTTTTATTTAAAATAATAAAAAAGAATGAAATTTTACCCAAATAATTGTGGGTTCTTAATATACGTAAACATTCCTTTATCAAACATAAAATTAAACATTTGACCGTAGAAATGTGTCTTTAAAGTAGGGCATTAAAAGAGGAAAAAAATCGTGTAGACAACTCAATTTACCGGACATTGTGTTTCAAAATTTTTTTAAAGTCTTAAATTGAAATTAAGCAAGGAAACAACGACTATTGAATGGCAATGTTAAGATACTGGAAAAACCCAGTATGTCACTAAAATAGACACGGCAGTCATGCTTGTTACGAAGAGGCCAATATAGGGGTTTAATTGAAATTAACACTATTAACTCAATTAACATATTGATTTTTCATGATCCTTAAACGTATGGCACATTTTGATATTCAAATGAATTCTGTTCTTTCTCATACAGTTGCCTTTTGGTCATGTAGCATGTTGCAAAAACCATAAAGTCTATTTTTGTACTTTTCATGCAGAGTTTCCTCCCATGGGGTTAACCGGTTTCCTTATATGTTTTTTTTTTAATTCGCATTTCTTTGTAAAAGACAACAACGAGATACTGTTTGAACGAACTTCAAAATTACTTTTATCATTAAAATATGTTACGATTGTCTCCCGAGGTATTGTTGAGAAGAATTAAAAGTAAAACCTATCTAAAATAACCCATTAAGGGCCTCAATATTCGGGAATGCGAGAACAGAGTAGTCCCCCGCATGACCAGGTCATGGAATAACTAGTAAACATCAAGGGCATGTTAGTAAATAAAGAACTGAATCAACAATGTTTGCATGAGAGTGGTTTAGTTGTTATTTACTTTGAAATAGAAAGTGTGTATACGATTCAGACCGGATGATCTTTGAATCGAAGCAAAAAATAAATAGGATCCCAGTATATAAAATATAAAAAAATCTTCGAAAAAAAAAAAAAAAAAAAAAAAAAGTTTTGTATAAAGGCATTCTTTTGAATATCTTATTTTTATTTCACCAATACATAAACTGACATTTTTTCATAAAACACATATTACCGATAATAATAATAATATAAAAAAATCATTAATTGTTCTTTACATTAACTTGTGTTGTAAATTTTCTGATTTATCTTTTTTGAAATCACAAGAATACTGTTACAATACATACCCATCAGTAAATCCATACATATCTTTGAGATGCTGCTTGAGATATAACAAGAGGATGCAACCTTGAGCTATCCAGATGATTTCTTTGAGAGGGGTTATGTCTTTGGGTAAGCGGCCTGTAATGTAGATCATGTAAAATACAATCACATATTTTGCAGAAGAAATAAAATTTCGAGGGTTTAGTGCAAAAACAGCTGTAACTCATGTAACATAAAGAAGGAAGTTAAGTCCGTTTTGCACCGATCCATTAATTTACTAGATTAAACATAAATTCACAAATCAAACTAAAATGATCACGGTTTTTTCGTTTTGTTTTTGTTTTCAATTAAGAAAGAGGATATTGAAGACTTCTATACGATATATATATTTTTCTAAATTGCAACAATAAACTGGTATATAGTAATGCAGTGTCACTGTGGTGCAGACTCCTAGTACTGCAATATTTTCTCAAAATATATAATCATTTCAACCATTAAAGGCACTCCATATTTGTAAATATACAACACATCTATTTTTTTTCATCCCTGATAGAGATTTACTAGTGTAATGAACATAATATATAACTTTCCAAATCCCTTTAAACAAGTGTTATTGCTGTTATTGTTGAGGTAAACATGCAGCAGTGTAAGTTTTCTTGTTGTTTTTTTCATAGATATCTATTGATTACAATAAATCTAAACTAGAACTATCACTAAATGAGATTAATACCCCCTGCAAGACTGCTTCGGAAATGAGGATGTTACTAGTAACAGAATACCTTGTAAAGAATTGAAAGAGTTATGGTTGTGGGCAATTAAAGATGGTTGTGGTTCTTGTATGTTGCATTTCCTTTAAATGTGGTTGGCCATTGATGAAGTTTTATTGGATTACTCTGTAATAAGTCCAGAAAGACAAGGAAAAGGAACAAAGGGCAATAACTCTATGAATACTGAAGATTGAGTTATGGTTATTGTACACTGCACTTCCTTTCATTACGCTTGACCATTGTATGAAGTTGTATTGAATTCCAACTACTAGTTTTCAAGTTATGCACTGGACAAAAAAGTAACAAAGTTAGTCCAAATAGAGTTATTGTTCTTGTGCATTGCACTTCATCTCACTGCCCTTGACCATTGTATAAAGTTTCTTTGAATTCCAACCATTAAGTTTCAAGTTATGCACTGGACAATAAAAAGTAACAAAGGGCAAAAACTTTTAAATTAGTCAAAAACGAGTTATGGTTTCTGTGCACTGCATTTCCTCTCAATATACTTGACCATTGTATGAAATAGTTTTGAATTCCAACTAGTAGTTTTCAAGTTATGCTCTGGACAAGAAAAAAGCAATGGAAAAGTAACAAAGGGCAATAACACTATAATTACTCTGGACAGAGTTATAGTTCATGTGCTTGACCATTGTATGAAGTTGTTTTGAATTCCATCCAGTAGTTATCAAGCTATGCTCCGGACAAGGAAAAGTAACAAAGGGCAGTAACTCTTCAATTAGTCAAAATGGAGTTATAGTTCTTGTGCACTGCACATCCTCTTATTGTGCTTGACCAGTGTATGAAGTTGTTTTAAATTCCAACCAGTATGTTTTAAGTTATGCTCCGGACAAGGAAAAGTATCAAAGGGCACTAACTCTGTAATTTGTCAAAATGGAGTTATAATTCTTGTGCACTGCATTTCCTCTTAATGTGCTCGACAACTGCATGAAGTTGTATTGAATTCCAACAAGTACTTTTCAAGTTATGCTCCGGACAAGGAAAAGTAACAAAGGGCAATAACTCTGTAATTAGTCAAAATGGAGTTATGGTTCTTGCGCACTGTACTTCCTCTCAATGTGCTTGACCATTGTATGAAGTTATATTGAATTCCAACCATTAGTCTTCAAGTTATGCTCCGGACAAAAAAAGCAATGGAAAAGTAACAAAGGGCAATAACTCTGTAATTAGTCAAGATGGAGTTATGGTTCTTGTGCATGGCACTTTCCCTTATTGTGCTTGACAATTGTATGAAGTTGTTTTGAATTCCGAAAAGTACTTTTCAAGTTATGCTCGGGACAAGGAAAAGTAACAAAGGGCAGTAACTCTGTAATAAGTCAAAATGGAGTTATGGTTCTTGTGCACTGCACTTCCTCTCAATGTGCTTGACCATTGCATGAAGTTATATTGAATTCCAACTATTAGTCTTCATGTTATAGTCCGGACAAAAGAAAGCAATTGAAAAATAACAAAGGGCAATAACTCTGTAATTACTTTAGATAGAGTTATGGTTCTTGTGCACTGCACTTCCCCTTATAGTGCTTGACAATTGTATGAAGTTGTTTCGAGTTTCAACCAGTAGTTTTCAAGTTATGCTCCGGACAAGGAAAAATAACAAAGGGCAATAACTCTGTAATTAGTCAAGATGGAGTTATGGTTCTTGTGCACTGCACTTCCTCTCAATGTGCTTGACCATTGTATTATATAGTTATATTGAATTCCAACCATTAGTCTTCAAGTTATGCTCCGGACAAGGAAAATGCAACAGACTGCTGGACCGACCGACCAACCAACTGACCGACCGACCACTGGGTGACTCCTATATACCCACCCCCCAAACTTCGTTTTTGGGGGTATAATGAGGGTTTGACCGCATTTTTGTATCCCAAACTAAATCTTGGCTTTAAGTAAGAATAACTTACTAAGTAAGATGTCTTTGTCATCATCATCTTCATCATAGTACATGGTTGGTTTGTCATTAAGTACACCGTTCTCAGTAGCATGTGGGTTGGACAGCATCTGCAATATAGTACATACACAACTATTGTAATATCATACACATATTGCTTTGTACAACTTTCCCTAAGTGCTTGAATACTTAATAATCTAATTACCTTTAAGCTACACAATTTTACGAAGTTGCAGACTTTGAATGTGAACATTTTGAAACAACAAAGGATAACATTAAACTTTGTACACACATTTCCATGCTACATAACACTTCATTCAATATCCCAATTGTTTTTAAGAGTATGTTCAATAACAGCAAATCTTTTTACACCTTGAGTTAGAGGAATTCTGACCCATCAATCATTGAAGTGTCACTCATTTTCAACCAAAACAGTAATTTATCAGAAGAATCACATGCAAGGTTAAGTAATATGAACTTTACATTTTGCAGTGAGAAAGAAAAAATATAATTAAAAGTATGTCAAAGTTATGTTTCTTAAATAAATTACACATAAACTGTAATATTACATGCCATATTTGGTGGAAATTTTTTGTCACTGTTATAAAGATTTTTATAAAGCATAAAAAATCATCTGAATTAATCATTATGTAAACAATATAAAAATAGATGATAGACATTTGAGAATTACTGAACTCATGATTGTTTGTTCAGCACAGCAGCATTTTTTCCAAAGAATGAAAAACTTGTAGAAAGTAACATAAGCTAATCTATATTGGCAGCATAGTAAGTGATTAAGTCAAGCAAATCTGTGATGTAACATAACTTTTTTATTTTACATGTTCTCAGCCATTGACCAAAGTTGCTCACCTGAGGACTGAATGTTTTGTGAATAAAATTTGCTGCTGTTGTTTTGTTTTACGTTGCACCAAAACAGTATAGGCAACATTTGGCATTTTCCAGCTTTACTGGTGGAGGAAGACCTCTTTGCATTATTTCAGGCACAAACAGGCAACTAAGTAGAATCACCTTCATTCCATAAGCTAACTGGATAACCTTTTTACATTTAAAATTCAAAAGTCTCAGTCGCGATTAGAACCCACAGCAATTAGAGGTAAGTTGTTTGAAATAAGTGACCTTTACCACTTGGCCACGGATCCCTCATGCATTTGCAATGATGTGATGTTAATGTATCATAAATGTAATAGCAAAGAAAAGCTTCTTTAAAATTTTCCTATAAAAGTTTAACATAGATGACCACTAAGGCTGGGCCAAATTCAAGCCCAAAAGGCATAATTTGGACATTGTATATAATTGACCTTAAGATGATGCTTCATATCAAACCCTGTAAATGGCAGTTTCTGACAAGGTGAATTTTAGTTTTATTCATAAAAGGAAACAACATGACCTCCCCCATCCATGGGCAGGCCAATTTTGACCCCTAAGCATTAATTTGAACAACCTTGTTGGAGTTCCACTAAACTATATTTCTTGCCAACTATCTACACTCCAGTCATTGGGCTTTCTAAGGCAGGGGCAGAGACAATTTTGACCCTTAGAGCCAAAAGTTTAAACAGTCTTAGTGGAAGTGCACTAGATAATTTTGAGTTTCATGCTAACTATCTGAGCTCTAGTCCTCGGGATTTCAGAGAAGACAGAGGTGTTTACTATATACAAACCAGGAAAACTCATGATAACTGGGGAGGTGGTAAATTTAACATAAGTACTAAAATAACATTCCTGTTAAGTTTGGTCAAAATCCGGTCATTAGTATCGTATCAGAGATGTATAAAGAAATTGCTGACCACCTAAACCACCAGACAGAGAATGATCACAAAAGCTCACAATGAGCATGTCTCACAATGAGCATGTTATGCTCAGGTGATAAACAAATATAATTAAAAATAACAAAATAAAGGGGAGCATAAAATAAGAAAAAAGTGCAAAGTAGGAATAAATAGAAAGGAAAAAAAACTCAACTGAAAGCATACAGGAATGAACAACAGAAAACAATACTTAAAGTCAACAGTAACAATTCAATTTTCATAACGGTAAAAACTTCAATTTCTGTAACAGTAACAATTCAATTTGATAACTGTAACAATTCAATTTTTATAACTGTAAAAACTCAAATTTCTGTAACTGTAACAATTCAATTTTACAACTGTAACAATTCAATTTTCATAACGGTGAAAACTCAAATTTCTGTAACTGTAACAATTCAATTTTATAACTGTAACAATTCAACTTTATAACAGTCACAATTCAACTTTGTAACATTTCAAGCATCTCTTTTAAACAGTTTTACCTTGTGTGACCGTGTGGTACGTACAGCATTGTTGCTTTTTTCCTTTTTACTTTTCTTCTATTTTCAATTGACATAAAAATTACAAACATCACTTTCAAGATGCAAAAACTATTAAAAACACACCAACTAAGAATTTGCTAGGATTTTAAACTCTGAAAACTTGTAACTAAGAAACTGCTTTAAGATGAATTTGACCCCTTTTTATGTTAATATATATATTTCTTTAAGTAATTTTGATAAAATGAGGTTCTAATGAAGATAAATATTATAAGTACCATTTTTCTGGATCTGTTGTCTTTGAACTGCAGCTTCTACAAGTAAAGGAATAAAATAAAAGTAAAAGCATACAAAATAATAACAACAACAATCATAGTCCTAAACCCTTACCCTTGTATATCTCTAAAGTGGAATTGTCCGTCTTTCAATCTGGAGAAAATCATTCCTCAATAATCATAATTTCCAAAATAAGTACCGACTAAATAGTGAACAGTGCTGACCATGATCAAGTGGCATGGATGTGCCCGCTGGTCTTGGTCTGCATTTCATACATTGGTAGATTTTGTTACCAATCTGCATTGGTCCCATTGGATGGAATTTGTCACTGGTCAACACTGGTCCTTGGGTAGATTCAGGCTAAGAGTTATGAGACTAAATTGTGTTGTTTTTTTGCCCACATAAACACTACCAGTCACAAATCAAATCAGATCATTACTTCTTAATATCCATGCTGTCCCTCATTAGCTTGAAATTCAACTTTCTCTTTTCCATTCAAATTTTTTCATGCAAATTGATTTCAGTATTTGAAAGGAAATTTGACCCTTTCTGTACTCTTAAGCAATTTTCACTATGACCTTTTTTATTTCCACACAAATCTATTTCTATATTTCTAAGAAAATATTTTTTTATTTTTAAATTCCTATACTTTATGACTGTTCATGATTTCAATTGCTGTTGAACTCATGAAGAAATGATTGAGGCTGGTAGGTCGTCAAAACTTGTTTTATAACTAAGGCAGTGCATGCATTATCGATTCTATAAATACCATTTTTATAAACACCTACCAAAATAATATCTTGAAAAAAGCCAGCACTATGACAACAAAATAATTACATGCAAAAACTATTCATAATCATGCCACTTTATTTCAATACAGTACACAACTGCTTCCCTTCTCTCAACATGAAAACAAAATAACAAACCTCTCTGAAAGACTGTAACAGATTAGATCCAGACACGGACACGATAATGTCAATCTGGTGAATTATAAACAGTGGCTCGTCCTGAGTTTGGTATAAAAAGAAGGCAAGGTTATCTGCAATGTACATTTGTTCTGGTAGGTTGATTCTCTGTAATGGAAAGTTAAAACAAGTTATTAAAGAAAGAAAACAGTAACAAAAGGAACAAGCAATGAATAAATCAAATAGAGAGAACTCATGAATGTGATAAAGAATAAACTGCGCCTAAATTGCTTCAGGATCTTTAAGCAGCATACTTCCAGATTCCTACAAATCTTTATTAATTCTACACAAATTGTATAAATATGCAAAAATAAATAGAACGCTTTAAGTCATATAGTAGAGATATGTTAATAAAACAATTTTATATAAAACTTCAAAAGGGTATGGATTATTTTAACGTTTTTTAAATCTTTATCTTTTGAAGTTGTACTTTTGTGACACGTGTTTACTCATCAGGAGACATGATGCTTTAATATGAAGAACCCTTAAACAATACTAAAACTGAAGGCTGAACACACAGATATTGAGGAAAACAAAACAAACGCAAGAGAACCACTTACTGCAGAATCATCTAGAAGATTAAGTAATGAGGTGAGAATGGCTCTTCGGTGTGACCTATTGGTTCGTAAAATGTTATAAAGGAATGCATTAAGACTTGAACTGTTATCATCAGGGTTGTGAAGACCTCTCACTACAAAATTGTTGCCCTCAGAACCTTGAATAAGCCGCTGTAGACGGAAGCACATTTTAATCCCTTGCAGGGCTTTACTCTGAAACAAGTAACAACACAAGATGATACTTTTCAATGTTTTCCTTTCTTTAATCTTTATATAGCAAAACCAGAACAAAACAAAACGCATTACTGCTATTTGACTCACAGATAAATGCTGATGTTTTTTTTTTTTTTTAATCAAAGCAAAAATGTTAAGGGTCCAGTAAGACCTCAAGTGCCTCTCTGTGGGTTATTTCAGGCACACCCCTAGTAGAACCACAAGCTAGCTGAATAGCTTACTCACATGACCTCAGTTTCTGGCTGGATTCAAACCAACAGCAATTAGGGACAAGTGTGATCAACCATCCTGCAGAGATGTCCCCTTACAGTTAAATTAATAAAAGATCATAACTGTAAAATAAAGTTTCAATTATGAAATCTAGATATGCTACTTCCCATGTACAGACAGGTCACTTACATGGATAAAACCTGGATATTTCTTCTCTATTTCCTGCAACTGTTGTTCTGCCTTGACTCTGATTGGAGCTTCAGAGTCTGTTGCCATGCTGATGAGATATGGTACACACTGAAATATAAAGAGCAATACTTCATGTAATGATAATAACTGGACAATTATCTTTGAAATAATATTTTATTATCATTATGTTACAATTCAACAGCTGTCCCCCCCTCCCCTCTACACGTTTATTTGAACATATTTATGCTGACCAAAACATTTATCAAGGAAAACCTCAAAACATGAGTTAAAAGTCTCAAACTGAACAGATTTTCCAACTGTTACTCATGAAATGGAAATAGTTCAACTGTCACTTAAGATAATGTTGAAAGTCCCAACATTTCATTTTACACATAAAATCATACAAATAACCTGGTAACAAATGGCTGAAAACACATCAGTTTATTTAAACCTACCTGTACAGGATGAATGAGGCCCTGTTTGAGAACCAACTGTATCACATTTAATGCTTCAAGTCGAACCTGCGACTTGCTTGAGAAAAACACTTCCAGCACCTCTTTCAAGTACACTTGCATAATGGTACTGGCCATTCTGTAATAATATAAATCTACTCAGTAAACTGATGACAAAAGGTATAACTTGAACAAAAAATAGTTTTCGAAATTTTCATAAACACAAACTTATATATATTTTTTACTAAATCAAAAGAAAATCTTCATACTACTATCCAATTCTACATATCTTAAAGATTATTTATACTTGTCTGCTGGTAAATCCTGTTTGAAATATATAATTGTGAAACTATCAACAGATTATAATTTGGAATAAACAATCTTTTACAGACTTCAATAACCAGACTAAACAGTATATATTAATGCACTAAGTCAAAATAATTTCAAGATTAGCTTGCAGAGTTGCTTCCCTTACCCTGATTGCACATCCCCCATTTCTTTAAGATCCTCTTCCTTTGCATGTTTCTTCCCTGTAAGAAATAATGAGAAATTAAAATATCTTTAAATTCTTCACTATTATGACCATTACACCAAAACTGCAGAAAAACTTTCAAAGACTTAAATGTTAAAATAAATTGGCTAAGAGCATTTCTCAGTTGCAAGTTTTCTGAAACATATATTCGGAAAATATATTGAAAATCTAGGAAAACTTTTTGAAAAACAAATTTAATCATCATAAAAAAGAGACAGCATCTAAATCACTTGTAGAATTCTTATTGACTTGCATTATATATGGATCAATTTTATCACAATAAAATACAATAATGATCCATGTGTAACTTAGTACTTACAATCAGCATCTGACTTTGCCATTCTTACTTCTTCTTCAACAAGATAATAGGAAAGGTTTTTCAAAACCTGAAAGTGAAAATAAGAACATAGATATTCAAAGATAAATATGACTTCATATATCTTTAGGTATGACATCAAAAGTAAAGGAACAAATATTTATCATTATATCTGCAGCAATATCCATTCATAAAACATAAATGAGCCGCGTCATGACAAAACCAATAAAGTGGGTTTGCGACCAGCATGGATCCAGACCAGCCTGCGCATCCGCGCAGTCTGATCAGGATCCATGCTGTTCGCCATTCTTACTCTTCTTCACAAGATAATAGAAGGTTTTTAAACCGAAAGTGAAAATAGAACCTAGATATTCAGACTCCAATGCAGGCTTACATCTCTTTGGACAAGCATCAAAGTAAGGAATAAATACTGTATTAATTATATGTCACAAGATCCATTCATAAAACATTAGTCTTACTAAAATGTACAAATAAAACAAGCTTCATATCAAAACAACTAGGACATCTGAAATGTCACTTACTTGGCACTTGAGTTTGATAGGAGAATCTGGATTGGTTAAGTGTTCACTGTACATGGTTTTAAGCGTCCTTCCCAGCATATATTCATAATGTCTAACAGCAAGAAAACCTGCAATAAATTATTGAAATCAATAATTTTTCACTTCTATTCTTTTTGCAAGGTAATATATTAATTACAGCTTTCATCAGCATTGAATCCAAGTGCACATCCCCAATAATGTTGATTTAAAGTTTATGTTAAATAACTTAGATCACTAAGATCTTTTGACATTAAGATTTAAATGTAGAAGTATCATACTAAAAATGCTGTAAAATACTCTTAGGGAAACAAGTGTTGAAACATTCTGTTCCACTGTTGATAACATTTGAGTCTCTTGATTCAGGTGATAAGATCAATATACAAATAAATGGGGGAAAAAAGTCCCTTTTTATAGTAACATAAGTTGATACTATTTGATATGTTTACACTGACCTAGACCAGTTAGAGCTTTTGATTGCACATCTTCATCAGGGTGTTCTGTGTAGTATATCAACACATCAAATATTTTCTCTTTCAATGATGTCTACAAACCAAGAAAATAACACAATAATCAAAGGGAACAGTGACTAATAAATATATAAATCAAGGCATAATTACTAACTTTATCCACTAGTATCCTATAATAATGAATGGGAACAAAAAGTGCAAAAAGTTGTTTTTGAGAACAAAATGCATGATTTGTTGTGAAATAAAGAAATGAAAGCCAAACACACTGAATATTAAGTTTATAAAACTTTACATTGCAAATAAGATAAGAATTTAAATCTTAAAGTTTGAAAAGTTAATGACGTCCATACTGATGTAATACCAAAAGCATAGAACAATGTCAACTTACATCCCCATCATCTTGTAACTCTGTGGTTTCAAAGTTAAAATGTTTACACATGAGACCAACTGTGAACAATGACCTGAGAAGTGTTGGCTTTCTGTTGCCTTGGAGAGGGACTGTGGGGTGTTCTTGATGATACGACTGAAACTTCACTAGATAACCTGAAAATAATACATGCGTTGTGTTTTAAAAACTTTTGTTGCTTCCTTGAAAGTAGGAAACTTTAATTGTCAGAGCTAACACTATTATCATATATCTACTTAAGCAATGCCATTATTAACCTTACAATGTAGAAATCAAACCAAGAAATCCTTTGAATTATAAGTAAAAAGCCAGAATATCCTTCAAATCTGAGCAGCCTGACATGGCCATTTATTGGAAGCTTTGCAAATTTCCTTTTAAGTATAATTATAATGAATTTTTTTCTAAATGACAGGCAAGTTCACTCAAGAAATTCAGCAGGTTAAGACAAAGTTTTTTAAGCCAGTCCTATGAATACATGACACAGTACCTTAGTTTGCATATCAATGGCATGTAAAGATACTTTATTATTAGGATATAAAAATCATCTTACCAAAGAACTTCTGGAAGCAATCTTTAACAAGAGGATAATTATGACTGACATTATTTACAACAGCACCTAAACAGCTAACACAACTTTCTAGCACCTGTAAAACAAAATAAATTTTATCTTTAATTAAAGACACTATGCATACAAATCAGGGATAAAGTAATCTTGAATTTATTTCACTTCACATAGAATTCTGAAATAGCCTAAATATTAACATCAACAACACAAAATGCTTTCATAAAGTTTAAATTTCCCTTTCTACATACTTTTTTTTGTTAAATATACTTAACATTAATTGGATGTTATCAACATATACTGTTTGTATAACATTTCCCTTATCACCAAAATTATTTTCTGCTATTGTGAAAAAATCAAGATGACACTAAGATGTTGCCTTTCTTTACACAGCATAATGGTCATACAAAACCAACAGTGTCTACATACAATTTTTTTCCCATATTGTTTATTTGTTTCATTGTACGCCTTTTCCAAACAGTATTTAAGTCATATAGGCGGGTAGTTTCCTAACCATCGTTCCTGGAGAATAACACCAGTTTCTTCCTCCGTGCTAAATTTTTTTTCTTCATAATACAATGCATGTAAGAAATGATAACTTACCATCATTCCATGATTCAATATCAATTTGATCATGTCCTCCTCTACCTGAGCAAGGAAGTTTTCACTTGGATGATCCATCAATGGTATCACAAGCTCTAATATCCTTGCCACATAATGTAGTACATAGAAATCACCCTGATTCTGCAATGTTTAATATATACATACATAATGCTATAGTCATACATAACTAGATTTAACTCTTTCACAACCTACAAGAAAGAATTATCCATTCAACTCAATACCGTGTATCTTTGCCTTTACTAGTGACAGTCCATGTCAAGAAGTTAGAAATTAACTATTTTTTTAAAGTAAATTAAGAAATTCTTACAAATGCCACTGGCAAATACACTGTAATCATACAAATATGGATTTGGTATTTTGGTAGCTTATAATTATGATGTTAATAAATTTATTGAATGTTTTTTTGTTTAGTTTTTGAAAATACTTTCTTATATTACTGACTGAATATTTATTACAGACTGCTATTTCAGCTGTTTTGAGATTTACCTCTGTACATATGCTTTAATTCAAAATTGACAAATACATTACATGATTAATTAATTCAGAAAAGAATTTGTCATAAATAAATTGATAAAATACTTACACTGCATTTGATATTAAGATATGGCTGGAGAGTTTGTGCATGTTCTAACATAAGATCTGGTTTTATTTTGCCAAACAAAAACAATGTTGACAGACAGGCAGACAAACGATTGCTGCATTTACCATCTGAAATACAAAATGTTCCAACATGTATCTGTCAGACAAAATGTTTCTTTTTGCTTTTATTTCATATTTGTGACAACAGCCCATCCTCCTATTTCTTTTGCTCCTTAAAATGTGCAATGCACATAACCAAATATATATATTAATCTACATTTTTTTCTTTTGTATTGATTGTTTTCGATAGGTCATATTGAGACAGTCCAACTTACCTGATGGAGGATGACCTCAGGTGCCCTTGCTTGCATTATTTCAAGCACCAACCGGCACCTTAGAAGAACCCACAGCCATACAGGGAAAGTGGTTTGAAGTCAATTTTTTCTCCTTGTAATGCCTAAGAATCTTAATGTGAATTGCTAGCAGCTATTATGTTTGAAAAAAAAAAAAAAAAATGTTACAAAGAGAATGAAAATAGCCTTCTGATTTTAAAAACTAAGGGCTTTCTCGCACAGAAATAGTTCCCATTCTCTAGCTCAAACTGTTTTCTATAACACCATTTTAATCTTCATTCGAATGTCAAAACAACCCTTTAGACATCTATACTTAAAATAGCATACTCACCAACACTTGTTTCTTCTAACCGCAGCACATTTTCAACTAAACAGTCTACAATTTGCCTACACGACGTTAATGCTGACTTGTTGTAGTTTCCATGTTCATCTTTCTTTAACAAATTGTCCAATAATTGTTCAATGAATTCAAAACCCGTATCTTTGCTAGCCGCAACAACCTCAGTGATATTAACAACTCTTTGAATAAGTTTTGACGAGTCTTTTTCTCTAGAACTCAATGGAGTAAACCACATAGTTTGAAACACTTCGTTCACTAATTTTTTAATTCCATCTTCATCGTTCACTCTACGTATCATTTTAACACACATATCTGGAATCTTATTAAAGTCTGGCTTTTCGTTGAAAATGTCTCTGAAGATTTTGATCACACGTTTTCTCACACTTATGCCTGTATCCTGAAATTTCAATAACATAGAAATAATATTTCAAGTTCAATCAAAACGTACTTCTTTCAGTTAACCTTTTAATGGATAGTTCATCAGGATTTGAAACAAATGTTTTATATTCTGCAAGAGAATTTTGTTAATAAAAGCCAATTATTTCTTCAAAGATGAAACAGAGTAGAAACGCTAAAATGGAATGATAATGCTAAAATTGAAAAGTAATGCTGAAAAAATGAAGTATGATAATAGCACATTTCTCATTTATTTCCATTTAATATCTTATTAAACATTGTACAAAATATATACCTTAAAAAAAAACAAGCCAGTTGCATTTCATTAAAGTGTTGTACATATACACAATTAACTTTGTTAAGTATTATCTCTGATTTCTGTACCTTTTATTATGTTACTTTCTTTAAATGTTTAACTATCCCAACCAACATCTATTGAACATATCGAGGGTTGATCACAAATTTACAGTAACTTATACAGAAGGACTAACAACTGTATTGCCAATTATTAATAAGGTACTATTAAATCAAAATCATTACCAGTATTCTTTCTGAGAGCATGTTATAGTACTGTGGAATGAGTTCTGGACGGATGAGAATGAACTTTCCCACAAGTTCTATAGCTGCCTCTCTTACTGACGTGGATGGATCAAGAAATCTGCCATGGACACCTCTTTCCATATCAGGCTGAAAAATGAAACAAGAAAATTCAATTTCATACTTGTTATTTTTTCTATATCAACTAGAACTATCACTAAATGTGATTAATACCCCCACAAGTCTGCTTGGGAAATGAGGATGTTACTAGTAACAGAATACCTTGTAAAAGAATTGAAACATAGAGTTATGGTTGTGGGCAATTAAAGATAATTGTGGTTCATGTATGTTGCATTTCCTTTCAATGTGGTTGGCCATTGATGAAGTTTAATTGAATACTCTGTAATAAGTCCAGAAAGACAAAGAAAAAGAACAAAGGGCAATAATTCTATAAATACTGAAGATAGAGTTTTAGTTCTTGTGCACTGCACTTCCTCTTATTGTGCTTGACCATTGTATGAAGTTGTTTTGGATTCCAACCAGTACGTTTTAAGTTATGCTCTGGACAAGAAAAAGTATCAAAGGGCAGTAACTCTGTATTTTGTCAAAATGGAGTTATGGCTCTTGTGCACTGCACTTCCTTTGAATGTCCTTGACAACTGTATGAAGTTGTACTGAATTCCAAACAGTAGTTTTCAAGTTATGCTCTGGACAAGGAAAAGTAACAAAGGGCAATAACTCTGTAATTAGTCAAGATGAAGTTATGGTTCTTGTGCACTGCACTTCCCCTTATTGTGCTTGACCATTGAATGAAGTTGTTTTGAATTCCAACCAGTAATTTTCAAGTCATGCTCTGGACAAGGAAAAGTAACAAAGGGCAGTAACTCTGTAATTAGTCAAGATGGAGTTATGGTTCTTATGCACTGCACTTCCTCTCAATGTGCTTGACCATTGTATGAAGTTATAATGAATTCCAACAATAAGTTTTCCAGTTATGGTACGGACAAAAGAAAGCAATGGAAAAGTAACAAAGGGCAATAACTCTGTAATTAGTCAAGATGGAGTTATGGTTCTTGTGCACTGCACTTCCCCTTATTGTGCTTGACCATTGTATGAAGTTGTTTTGAATTCCAACCAGTAGTTTTAAAGTCATGCTCTGGACAAGGAAAAGAAACAAAGGGCAGTAACTCTGTAATAAGTCAAAATGGAGTTATGGTTCTTGTGCACTGCACTTCCTCTCAATGTGCTGGACCATTGTATGAAGTTATAATGAATTCCAACTATTAGTCTTCAAGTTATCGTCCGGACAAAAGAAAGCAATGGAAAAGTAATAAAGGGCAATAACTCTGTAATTACTTTAGATAGAGTTATGGTTCTTATGCACTGCACTTCCTCTCAATGTGCTTGACCATTGTATGTAGTTATATTGAATTCCAACTATTAGTCTTCAAGTTATGGTCCGGACAAAAAAAAGAAAGCAATGGAAAAGCAACAAAGGGCAATAACTCTGTAATTACTTTAGATAGAGTTATGGTTCTTGTGCACTGCACTTCCCCTTATTGTGTTTGACAATTGCATGAAGTTGTTTTGAATTCCAACCAGTAGTTTTCAAGTTATGCCACGGACAAGGAAAAGTAACAAAGGGCAATAACTCTGTAATTAGTCAAGATAGAGTTATGTTTCTTACGCACTGCACTTCCTCTCAATGTACTTGACCATTGTATGTAGTTATATTGAATTCCAACCATTAGTCTTCAAGTTATGCTCCGGACAAGGAAAATGCAACAGACAAAAAAAAAAAGCAATGGAAAAGCAACAAAGGGCAATAACTCTGTAATTACTTTAGATAGAGTTATGGTTCTTGTGCACTGCACTTCCCCTTATTGTGTTTGACAATTGTATGAAGTTGTTTTGAATTCCAACCAGTAGTTTTCAAGTTATGCCCCGGACAAGGAAAAGTAACAAAGGGCAATAACTCTGTAATTAGTCATGATAGAGTTATGGTTCTTGTGCACTGCACTTCCTCTCAATGTGCTTTACCATTGTATGTAGTTACAGTAAAGACTGTCTTAGCGACCCCCTGTATATAGCGACGTTCTGTCTTTAGTGACCATAGTTAGGTGCGCCGAACAGTATTTACTATATAAATGGTCTGTTTGTAGCGACTCCCTGTCTAGTCCGTACAACGACCATGATTTAGTCACCCGTTACGGTATTTGAGCCGTGAACAGCGACTTTTGCGGAGCAAGGCTTGAACTAGGTGACGACTTTGGCGAAGACGTCGCCTTCGGATCAGCGACTTTGCCTAAAACAAACTTCAAAGAGATCGTCGCCCGAAGTTTATAATTTTCTGTCATACTTATTTACGCTGCTAGGTCTGTTAATAATTTGTTTACCTCTCAATTACAACCAATTACCATAATCCGCTAATTAGGAACGCGTGTCAACATCAACAAAATTCAATACACGCCGCAAGGCAAGAGTTCATTATGTTTATCTTTTCTCATTACGTATTCATGCATTGACAAATCAGAACACGCGTTGTATCTATGACAGTTTGCATTGACCAATCGGCGACACGCTAATACACTGTGGCTGTTTGTTGACAATTACACAAAATGGCGACAGATTCAATCAAATTTCGCCGATAGAATGATTAAAGACACCTGCATATACATAATTGCTGCGGTGTTTTGGCGAGTAAAGATAAACAAGGCCAAACGTCTTAAAGGTGTGATTATGTTTGAAACCTCGATTTTTAATTTTTTTTCGGAGCACTTATCTTTAGAAATTATGTGAAGATTTGTATCTAATGTTTTATTAATACATTGAACTCCGTAGAATAAACAGGCTGATTATACAAAATTAAATGTCTCTACAGTAACATCTCATTAGTAAAATTGAAATTAAACATTTTTTTACAAACAGATTTATCAATATAAATTACATTTTAATGAATATGTAACTTAATTTTTAAATACTAATGTTATGGTGTAGTTTATAATCTTAACCAATTATACATTCAATTTTAATACTCTCTTGTTTTTTATAAATGACATTTGATATGTTTAATATCAATAAAAATATAATTAAACCCTTAGTATGGTACTATCCTGCTTTTCAACAAAATATTGGTATGATATGTTCATATATCCGAATTATGTAGAGACTGTCCACAGTGACTCCCTGTCTATAATGACCTTTTTTCTTTTCTCCCATCGAAGGTCACTGTAAACAGTCTTTACTGTATATTGAATTCCAACCATTAGTTTTCAAGCTATGCTCCGGACAAGGAAAATGCAACGGACGTCTGGACCGACCGTCCGACCGACCGACCACCGGGTGACTCCTATATACCCCCCAAACTTCCTTTTTTGGGGTATAAAAATGATCAGCAAATAAAGCCATAAAAGTATTCTGAGAGATTTTCACCCCCAATTTCAAAACTTTTTTTTTAAAACAATAAATATTCCAGGACAAAACTGCTACCTCTTTTACAGTCATAATAAAAAGATAAAATCTAAAAGAAATGGTGTTGCTCTTCTATTAACTATACTAAAATAACTTTTACTTTGCCTTGGTTGTTTGCAAATGCACTGATGCTAATCAAATTCTAAGAAAAAACAATCTTACCCTAGCTAACACTCCTGGATCCGCCTCAACAACTGATGTTAGACACTTCATAGCTTTTGTTCTAATGGCTACAGCATTCTCAGCTAGCACTTTTAAGATCTGAAAAAAATATATGATTCTTTACTGTTAATACCCAAGATATTAAACTGTCACCACTCCTCTCTAATTTAGAAACTATTTAACATGGCAGAATTCAAATGAAAAGCATAGAAAGACAAACAAGTCATGTGTTGATGAAGCATTCATCTTAACAGGGATCCTCACATACATGTCTTCACATCAATAACCTGTTCAGAATAATTAATAAATACAAAGAGAACATACCTGGCCAAGATAAATATCAAAACTTTGTGCAAACGGCCGTTTTGAAGACAGGTATCTTGCTACCAAACAACCACTGTCATAGTCCAATTTACTTGGAAGTGGTCTGAAAAAAAGTCAAAACAATATAGTTATGAACAGCTGTATTACCTTATGATTATCATCAGATCCCAATGTATCCAATTTGACCCTGCCTAAAAGGTATCCTTTTGAAATATTATTCTCCCCACATATTAATAATTGTCCCCGACCCCCTCATTAGAATCTCAATGGCAAAAGAATAATCAAAACAATAACACATTTCTATACTGTAAAACTGACACTAAATTTTTCTTAAATCCCAAACAAGTTTTCATTATCTCAAATGTAATGGATGGAAGTTGTAAGAATTGAAAGAAAGTTTCCTACTTGTAAGATGAGTATGGTTTGTAGCTGGTTTTTCAACTTGTGGATAGCAGAAATTTCGGTTCTAGCTTAGTGTCAGCCAAGTTCTCAGTTGATTTTCTCTTCCTCCGCATCAAAATTCCTCATCAGCTTTCTGATGTTTCTTTTGGCTGCTTCTTTGGTTGTGTCTCGGAAACCATTGAGCAATGGTAAAAACTGGCGTGCAAACTGAAAGTTAACATGTAAACATATCATTAAACATGCTTTGATATAACAAAGTCACACTGTCATACCAACAATATTCCAACAAGAGCGATCAGTAATTCACATGTGTCGCCTCATGATGGCCAATTTCATGTTGGGACAAAGTTTGTGACAGACGGACAGACAGACGGACAGTGCACAACTAGACTTGGTACTTATCATTCCTGTAAAGTTTGGATAAAATTGCACCAGTAGTTTATGAGGAGTAGTCCGGACAAGCTTTTGCGTATCTGGCAACACACAGAAAAAACACCTTTTATCAAAGGGCCATAACTCGGCCAAAAATCATTCAACCGGAAAACCCTTGCATTTATGCGCAAGGACTTGAGCTACAGATCAATCCTGTAAAGTTTCATTGAAATTGCTTAAGTGGTATAAGAGAAGTAGTCCACAACTTTAAAATTAAAAATTATTTAAAGGGCCATAACTCTGTCAAAAATCATTGAACCGGAAAATGCTGACAATATGCACAACTAGACTTGGTACTGATTTCATTCCTGTAAAGTTTGGATGAAATTGCACCCAGTAGTTTATGAGGAGTAGTTCCGGGTGCTTTCCCCCTTCTGCTCCCCACAAGTTTTGTGACGGACAGGGACAGACGACGGAGAAGTGAATCCCTATATGTCGCCACTACTTCCGTAGAGGCGACACAATAACAACACTTTACCTATCATGTTAAAAACTACTTAAAAATGACAAAAATTGTTAACTGCAAATAAATTTTTTTGCATTTTTTCCCCATGACAGACCTCATTGTATGATATAAAACACTTGGTTTTGACTGCACATGCCTAGGCTTCCAGGAGCATCTTCAAATTTTCATAAACTTCACTGAATATTCAAGCGATTCAGGCATATTGTCAATATCGAATTAAAAAAATACATGTAAGAGAAGAAAAAGCAAACTTGGACATTACCAAATAGGCCGGTTTCACTGGCACCGTGATATGAGAGGTAGTCAAGCATAGCTTTTTGTAAACTTTGGGTTTCATCTGGTTCTTGTACTTCTTCCTGAAACATTTAAAAAATTTATTATGTATATTTCACTGAGGAAAGTTAATGACAGTATGTTATTAAATGACTAAATATTCTGGTAGGGGTTAAAGTCAGATAGCATTGTTTTCACACTTAATCTGATACCTTGAACAAAAATGTTGATTATTAAGAACAGCTCCTGTATAACAATCCTAATCATAACATTAACACTTGTTAAAATCATCACTGAATAAAAATCATTTAATAAATCCTATTTCAATAATAAAATGAGCTATTCAATAACAAACCTCGGGACTTTTCCTTCCACTTTCTCGTTGGATCTTTTTACTTCTTCCCATCATCTTTCCTTATCACTTTCGTGGTTAACCCTTTGTAACCAATAGTCCCCGATGATTTCTTTGACTTTA